CAGACAGACAGACAGACATTTTGGCATTGACGCTTTGCGTAGTCTCTGCTACATTCTGCTACAGTGATCATATCCCAGCAATAGATTATGTCACACTGGGACAATGAGGGTTGGCCTACCTTTCGAGAAAAACTAGTAAGCTGGAGGATTGATGTGAAAGTCAAAGCTCCACTTCCTTGCCGAACCTTGTAAAACAAAAAAAACATCTTGAAAGCGAGAGCGAGGATCCGGCGCGCACAAACGCTTGACGCAGCAAGCAACACCTCTCTGGGGGGGCTATACCCTGGAATGTACAGGCTGCGAGAATTCGTCCAACGCTCTCCCGCGCCTGCGAATGTGTGTGTGTGTGTGCCGAACCCTTTGAATGCGGCATGGCAAGTCTGTTTGCAAAAGTGTAAGCCTCGAAAGGCACGTCACGGTCACAAATTTCCCGCAATACAGGAGAAGGGCGTCTCTTCCTGTTATTACGTTTATGAACGCTGATGGGGAGGCCGTATGTGGACCCTGGTAGTTCCGTCACGGAGTTGTCGGCATGTGCATGGTTGTGGGCGTGCGCCCAGGCAATCGAACATGAGCAAGGACACGCCTGTAAGGGCATTTCGCCAAAATGTCATCCGCAATCAGTGCGATGTGTGAGAAGAACCCCGTTGACACGTCTAGAACAGAGATGTCGAACCGTCTGGCAGAATAGCAAGTTAATGCTCAGCACATCGAGCCTTGAACCTATGAAAGTGGGCCCCCGCGACAGTTCGTTGGACGAACTCACTGCGGTATTGACCTTGACGAAGTCAACTGACCCTGGTGGTCGGTCTGCAAGTACTGTAGAGTGTCAAAAGCCTCACAAAGACCTGTCAGGCATGGCAGATGGTGCCTGTCTTTACTTGAAGACGCGCCAATGTGACACGGGCAGCATGGATGGCATATCGGCAATAAACTGTGCCACGCACTTCCGCACGCGGTCATTGGACTGTTCTCAACCTGGCAAGACCTGTGAATGCGCAACACCACCACCCTTGCAAGGCAAAGCTGCGAGACCGCTGCATGAGCCCAAACAGAAAACACTTGGTTATGCGGTCCGAAACAGGAGCCATCAACAAATAGCAGCGCATCATCGTTGCTGGGCAATCAAAAGCAAAGTGGCAGAATAGAAAGCTCAGTGCGGAAATCATCGCATGCGTGGCATCGGTATCACATGGTATCACAGTTTGGGCACAGAAAGCTTTAAGATGCATCCCACCTTGTCAACACGTCATGGGTGGTTTGGGCCAGGCAGCGAGGTGAAGCTCGGACAAAAAGTCTCTCATATCCGAAATGCCAACAGCTGCAAGATTGAAGCTACATCGTGTTTTCTTAAGTTCGGCACAAACCTTAAAAACCCAGGGCCCAAGTATTTGAGATCGAGGACCCGTAAGAACTTAGATAACCAAGAGAACCGAACCGCGGGTGGCGCAAGCACCCTCCGGCTTCCATCCTTTGGTTGCAGCAGCCGCGGGTGATTAAGCGCGTGAAAGAGCTCCGTTTGTTTAACTCGGCAAGATGTCGAAAAGAAGCACGTTCAGCAACAACCTTGTGAACAAGTCTAAGAGTTGAGGGTCAATTACGAGTGCAATTGTTGAGTTTACACGGGTATGTGTATCAGAGGTTCCCGATTGTGCATGTGCATGAACGGCCATTGATGGCGAGGGGTGTTTTGCAATGAATGACCAACTTGGAGATGCAGACTTTGCTCATGGGTTCCTTCATTTTATGGAAGCGTGATCGCCGAACCGTTTTTGGTCGAGTCGAACACGGAATACGGTGAGATACGCTGAGGCTCTCGGCTTAGCCTCATGCCATCTGAAGGTGGAGAAACACACAGGTGTGTCAGGGGGATTAGCACCTGATATCCTGAACTACGCTCTGCAAGGTTCCCCCCTGTTTTTTTGATAGTGAGGTCTTCCCCGCATGTTAAGCGGTTGCCCCGCCCACCCAAACTCACACCCACCCCCACCCACACGCGCACGCGCACGCGCACATGCACACACACACACACAGAGACAGCACACGTTTGCCAGTCGTTTCTCATCTTTACAGACTGACCATCGTCGACCTTCGCGGACGAATGCATCCTTGGCTGTCGATCCTCACTGTGATGAAACGGAACATCCAAAAAGTTTTTCGGTTAGTACTAGAATTAGAGATACTCGTTGCATCCCTGACCTTGGTGGAAGACCTCAGCAATAGCCGAGAATTTGGGTTTCTGGTCCATCCTGGTCCCATATTCAACACCTGCCTCTCGAACCTCGACTTTCACTTCCGTCGCAGGATATCGCAGGCTTCGCATATGGGTCGGTTTTCCCAACCTCGACAGCATGACTTGTGGAAGAAGCAGAGACTTTTGTACAGAGAGCAGAGGGAGTTGGAGGACATGCAGAACCTTGCGACGTGCCAGGCAGGTAATCATGCCGAAGTCATGGCAGGTGTCCGAGAGGCTCGGGAGCACTGCGAGAGAGAGCCTGAGCCTGTCAGTCTCTTTTGCCGGCAGGCCGACCAGCAAGGGGTTGTGCTGGCCCAAAACGTGCGGGACATGATCAGCCAGTGGCTATCAGTTCGCCTTGCTTGTTGCTGGCATCAGGTAGACCAAACCAGTAATAGCGCTTCCATGGCAGGTGAATGCTCCAAAAAACGAGTCCGTGCCTCGTGATGTCACAAAGTCGTTGTGTGGCGGCTTCATTCTGCGCATTGCGATGGCGTAACTGTTAGTCCCCTTTAATTAGCTTGGCCCATGGCAGTACTTGCGCTTTATCTCTGACCCCTCCTGCCGGTGCACGGTGTTTCTGATCTCCTCGCATGCCCTGCTAACCGGAGGAGCCATCACTTCCTCGTCCCTCCCCCCAAAAAATGGCTTTTCGTGAATGCGCAGGATCGGTTGCTGGACAATTATGGATCACGCGAGCTGCGCGCCGTTAACATCGAAGGCTCCTCTCTCTTTGTTTGTTTTTGTTTGTTTGTCTGCTTGCTTGCTTGTTTATTTGTTTGCTTTGCTTTTGTTTGTTTTCCGCGCGGGTGTGCTGCGTTCTTGGTGTTGTGTGTGTGTGTGCGCGTGCCCGCACAGGCATGCGCTCGATCTCCCTCCCTCCCTCCCTTCCTCCCTCGCTCCCCACCCATTTTCTCGCTTGCGCACTGGCTCGAGAGGAGATTCCCATACTTTCGCAGCGTGAAAGTGACAACTCAGGCCTGAGAACCCATCTCCACCTGCTCCACCTGCGTCTGCTCCAGAGCCAGCACCTCCTCCAGGAGTCACTCGTTTTCGTTTTCGACCCAAACTGTTTAGTTGCTTGACGCCCAGCACCACTTGAGGTTCAATGCAAAGGCCAGTAGGGAGTGTTGTGCAATTGCTGTGATCGTCTGCAGGACCCCAGAGCAAACCAAAGGAACCTGCGGCTCCGGCAACTACTGCCGAGCAGCTTCGCAGTGCCCTGTTGAGGCACCGCACTTAGTTTCTGTCATGACTGTTCCTTCTCTGAAAGTCGTAGTCCAGTCGATGTTATGAGTGTCAGTTTTCAGCGATCGGCTGAAGATGGCTGGGGCACTGTCAGAGATGCCTTCTGTTCCTCCGTGCTGCACTGCATGCAGGTTTTTCGAGCTCGCCCCGCAGGGCAGCGATGGAGCCGCTGGGCTGGGGCCAGGTTCTCGATGCTTGGGTGTCGGATTCTGGCTCCTCGCCAAAGTGGCATGTGGCCATAAGGATTATAGAAGGAGATGATGGACGCAGGCTGCTTCAATCTGCTTCACTTGCCACTTTGCCTCAAACGCATGCTGAGAGGTATTTGCCGTTGCCAATGCTGGGCCGGGCTGTCGGCATCACTGGGGAGGACTTTGAGGTTGCCATGAAAGCATGGAATGTAGTCAATGAGGCCTGGTGGCCTGATTGTGTGCTCATGATCAGAAGCCTCGCGAGCCCTGCCTCAGACACCGCCGGGCACCTTCATGATGACGGAGGATGCGCGAGCAGTTGGTGGAATCCTCGGTCGGAGATTGCGTAGGCTACGCCGCGATGCCCTGCATGTCGCATCCCTCGAGGATTGGTTGAATGGGCAGGATGGGAGGACCTTTTGCTTGTTGAGCCCTGTCAGTCTCGTGTCTCCGAGAGCTCAAGACGAGTTCGGGCCAGGTTGGATAGAGATGGATAGAGTACGGCTAGGCTGTGGGAAGTTCCCCAGAATGGGTCCCCTCCTCTGTTCTGGACGGGCTGGCCCAACGAAGTTGACGGGGGGCTCTGGCGGCAGCGTGGCTCACGCTCTTCACATGCCCTCGTGCAGGAATTTGCAAGCTCCCTGGATGTTATCGTGAAAGGGACCCGGGATCCGGCTTTCGAGCCGAGGCCGGCAACTCGTGCGCCAAAAGTGTCAGAGTATGTCAGACCTAGTGCATGATCTGTCAAGGTCCATTCAGGGGCATGTGGCTCGAGCTGCTCGTGGAGCTGTGCGGTCAGGGCCACTGCGACAACCAGATGTGCTGCGAAGACTTCAGGAGGGGACTGGGTGTCCTACCCTTGAGCTGACAGTTAAGGTTTAGGCAAGAGACCTGTGCATGCATGAATTGAGGAGCTCTCATCCGAGAATCTTCCTGAGGAGAGCTGTGGCATTGATGTTCAAGTGCAGCGGCACAGAGCACTCAGAGCAGGGCTCAAAGCACCCATGGAAGGATGCAGCTCCCGCTTTGAGAAGCGCAATTCTTCGAAGAGCTCGACTTGCCCTGGCGTCAGGAGCTAAAGCAAAAGACTCCGGAAACGGTGGAAAGCAACGGTTCTTGCATTGGGACGCTGCTGAGGTGCTTGGTCGATGCCATCGCTTCGCAAGGTCTTGGACCTCAGGCCTGTCCGTGCACTTGCTCAAGTTTTGTCCGACGGACGAGTTGTCACAGGCAGGCGTGGACTCCATGGGATTAGTGGGACAGCTTCCCAGGCTAGGAGTTTCTGTGGCAGTCTGTGCAAGTTCCTGTTGTCTGACCCTCGTTCAGGACTTTGTTCGGCATCATTTTCGACGTGAGCCACCGCGTTTGAAGTGCAACAAGTTCATGACAGTTCATGTATTCCGAAACCCTTAATTGATTGTGCTGTCGCCGTCATCACTTTTGTCTTGAATATGCATGGCAGAACATTGACGATCGAGATCGTGGAGCGTGTGCTTTCTTGGGGGAGGCGCGTGAGTTGATGCGAGCGATGTAATACTCGAGCACTTCCCGTCCAAAGCGGGTTGTTGACACGGTTGGCCGACAAGTTCACTGGGGGGTGCGCGCGAAAGACGGCGTCCGCGTCTACTCAGAGTGTCCAGTCACGGGCCTAAGCCGGGCCGCAGCTTCGAAATTGGATCTGTAGGGTGGCCCTGAGCCTGAATCTAGCGCGACACCGGATCCTCCGAGTCGCGCTCATCTAGACACTAGAGGTGATGCTAGAGGATGATAGCACCAACCCGGTGTTTTGAGTCAACCACGGCACTCCTGGTCCTGTCAGATTCTTCAGTCCTGGGATCGTCGACGGTGCTTCTCAAAGCGCTGGCTGCAGGACTGCGGATAGAAGATTTGCAGCCTGCGAACATCCGTGTACCTTACAAATCTACTGGTAGTGAAAGTACTTGGGACTCACTGCATTACCTGGCCAGGATGCTGCAGGAAAGTTCTCTATGCCAAAAGGGCCAAACTCCGAGCGGGACGAAAGACGCGGCTGGTGCGACAGACCATCTCCAAAGCTTCCAAAAACCTTGCGTTCCCGTCCTTTTCCACGACGACAGGTACGCGTTGACTTCGGAAAACCTGCACAAAAAGCCTGCCGAGGAGGCTCTCGAGCTTTGATTATTCGAATCCCAGGGCAGCTGCAAGGTATCACTGTGCTGCGCGCTCTGCCCAAACATGTGTAGTGATCTGTTGGAGGAGGGAGGTGCTGCAGGAAATGCTCCGACATTCTTAAGTATTGAGCTCAGACTGTGCACCTATGCTTGAGTGTGCTCCTGCCCTCCATCGGCCTGAGGCACGGATGATGCACCGCGCTCGGAGGTGCACACGACTGGACTGCTGTGACCGCTTAGTAGCCGACTTGCTGACCTTTCCGCAGGCTGTGCCACCAGAACCAACGAAGAAGGATTCGCGGAGGACGCACGTCACAGCTCTATCAGTCCCGCGCATGCGCATGGCTTGAAGCGACAGTGGGAGTAGGACGGAGACGAGGTCGCGGAAGAGTCGGGGCCCGAAGCATGCGAAAAGATGCAGAATTGACACGTGAAGAGGGCTAAGACGTGGGACACGACAGGCCGGAGTCGCAGCCGTCGGAGAAGTCGGAGCCGGAGAAGTCGCAGCCGCAGCCGCCGGAGCCGTCGGAGCCGGAGCCGTCGGAGCCCACGCAGAAGCCCAAAAAGCCCTCGCAAAGAAAAAGAGAACAAAGACAGCAAAGAGAAAGAAGCAAAGCCTCCGAAAGAGACTCCGAAAGAGACTCCGAAGGACGAGGTTGGGAGAGCAAAGCATAGTGCGGCTATGTGCGGCTTAAGCTTGGCAAAAGTGCCTGCATCACGCAAGGCTCAAGCGACGCAAGCAGAAGCAGGTCGGCAGCAGATGCATAGAACAGTGCGATATGACAACATTGCACAGCTCTGCAGACCTCGAGGTGCAACAGAAGGAGCCCTTCTGGCACGTGTTAAGCAACAAAGGGACGGGTTGCGAAGAGCACAGCTTTAGTTCACTGACATGTCATGACATTCGAACCCATTCAGTTGAGGTTGACAGTGAAGCAAAGAAGAAGAGACGAGTCTTGCAACAAGTGCGAAGCTTAGGGGCATGGTATCTTGGACATTGGGGCATTCTTTGCATGTGGTACCATTGTTCCACCATGAGTGTAGTGCGCAGGACGACGATGATGATGAGACGGTCGCGAAGCGTCTAGAGGTTGCCCCGGTCAGGTGTAGCAAAAGGCTGCCTGTTCTCCGCTCCGCGGCAGGAAAGTCGACGACGACGAGCCGCCTTGCTGGCCAAGAAACTTGTTCGCAACTCCTTGATTCCTTGATTTGGGTGTTTTACAATTGTTTTACCATGTTCCATTTGTGGCCTCCTCTGTGGCCCAGGTACCAGGAGGGCAAGGATTAAGGTTCAAAGTGCCGCGCTGAGCTTTTCGAATCCTGTCGGAACGACAGAGCCGCAACCTGGACTCAACGCCAGGAGAGCATATTCCAGCATATTTCTGAGCACCAGCTGAGAGTGGCAGGGCCGAGCTGCGAAGAAAACCGGGAATCATCGAAGAGACGGAGACTGTAGATCACAGTAGATGCAATCGCTTGTTTGCGCATGTCTGACGCTTCATTTTTTTTCCCCATGTCAAGCTGAGCTGTTCGGCGCAAGGCCAGGAGACCATGGTATCGCCTTGCAAACAAACACTTTAACTCCTTGCATAGGGTAGCTGGATCCTTCCACCAGACTTTTGTATGCAGACAGAGCAGACAGCTTGAAACTGTTTGCACGGCCACCCTAAAAAGGCCCTAGGCAGCCTAGGCTGTGCCTTACTTAAGGCCCTAGGCTTAGACAAGAGCACAAGAACCTGTACTTAAATTAGAGAGAAAGAATGATCGATGCGATCAATGCTGCCGTTGCCTCCGAGGCCGGGCTCTTGCCTTCTGATTTCCCACCTGAAAAGTTTGTTTTTGTTTTTGCCGCTGCCTTTTGCGACCTTGCCCCATATTAGGGGCTTTGATGCGCTCTAGATGCTCTAGACATCGTCGCTCCAGCTCACCTCTCTGACGCCAGTGTGGCAGTGTCAAGTCTGACAGAAGTGCTGACAGGCGAAGTCGACAGGTGCGTCTGAGCCCGCCAGCGGCTGAACGTGGCATTGGGGCTGAGCTCTGAGTTTCGACTGTGTTTCGACCAGGTGGTTGAGGAGATCTATGCCAAGCTCAAAGAAAGCGGTTTTGATTCTAAGCAGGCGCATTATCAGCTTGAAGTGTCTGCAATGATCACAACTTTTCAGTTTGGCCCATCTTACACCTTCGAAACGCTTGATGGCAACGCAGGTGACTACACTCGAGTTCAACTCTTTCTTGGAGCGGAAGCTCTGGCCAGGATTTGAAACGGAAAAAGCAAGTCTTGCGCACTTGATAACCATCGCGCTTCTCATCAACGAGAAGGCGGACCTGCACACACGGGCTGTGACCGGGCTTTGAATGCTCGATGTTGCGCGTTGATTGCCCACAAAAAGGTGCGAGATGGAAGTGTTTCTGCATGGGATTCTGTGGCTGCCCGCAAAGAGAAGCAACTTGGCAGAATGATCCATCCAGCCCTTTGGGGCTACGGCGGCTGCGCCTCAGGTTCTCGGGCTACTTTGAGAGCATGCTGGAGCTGTGGAAGTCTGGGCGGTTGACACTTCGGGAAAAGCCAGAAGCCTGGCCGTTTGCAATAGCACATGACATCTGTCCTGACTTCTTAAGGAGTTAGCTTGATTGGTTCACGGTTTGGGCAGCCAGGTCTCACGTCCTTCAGTTCCTCATCAATTGCTTCCAAAGCTTGGAGCAAGACTTCGTGCGCGAGTGTTGCTTAAGGCAGCTGGGGTGAGATGACTGAGGCTGTAGGATTGCTGACATTTACAGCTGTGATGGCACCAGGCTCACAGGCTTGCAGTCTTGGTTTCATTTGAACGACCTCCATCGAGAGATACTGGACTGCAATGGATCTTTCGATAGCTCTAGCAGGTGCTGAAAATTACATTACATAATTACGGTGGTATTCCTTGTTATTTCCGATTGCTAAGGAAGCTGTTGTCTTTGAACAAGAAGTTGCCCGCATTTTGGAAGAAAGTTCAGAAGAAGTATGCCGCCTGACTGCAGTGGACTCTGACTGCACATTTGAGCATCTGCGACGACGGCAATTAGCATAATTAGCATTGACTTATGCGAGACTGTGCACGCGAGACCTAGTGCAGGCTGATCCCAAGACGTGGGGCACTCAAGACAAGTCAAGCCGCAGACATGCACAGGCTGAGCTCCCGAACTGATGTTAAGGCCGCAGGCCAAGCACGAGCGGAATTTCATGTCCGAACTGCTCGATGAGTTCTTGGCGTCGCTGGAGAAGTTTGGAGAGCTTACTGACTTGGGAGTAGAGGACCGTGCAGGCACAAACATCGTCGTTTGCTTGGGTTCCGCCCGCTGATGATGGGTCGAAGCAGGTTTGCATGTGACGTCATGCCGTGCGGCTCATGCAAGAGCGGCCTGCCAAGCACAGTATGTACGAGAGAGGAAGATGCAACCACATGTATATTCTCAAGAACTTTCTGCCGAAGTTGAAAAGATTTCAATTTGCGATGTCCAAATGAACACTGGATTTTAGATTGCTTTTGTGTGTTGTCTGTCGTTGCGGCTCTCTCACAACCAGCAGTGGTTTCTGAAAGTCATGTTCCTGTGGTGGCAGCGAGCTTTGAAGTGCATCCGCATGTGAGCTTGGACCATTTTCTTCAGGAGCTTTCCTACCTAGAGCGTCTCTTGACTGCAGCTGAATGCGTTTCAATCGCATGCTCGTAGACTGGACGTGGCATGCTGCCTCCGTACCCTCCGTACCTTCGGCACAGTTTTGTCCCCAGGCTGCATCGAGCTGATGATCGATTTGCTGGATCAGCTGCCTACGCGGCGCTTCTTCCGACCGCTGTTGGTGGACAAGCATGTCGTTGCGCGACGCTGAGAAGGGATCAGTAGCTACTGGAGGAAAAGTGAGACTGAAGTGTGTCGGCCATGTCTCGAGCTTGCACCCACAGCAACACGCATTTCAACAAATGAGCGCGGTGTGAAACAACGGATGGTAGCTATCTATCTTAGTTGACGATGTTCCAATTTCTGCGTCGTTGCCGAGCATTGCCGGCGAGTGTTTGCAATACCCTTCCTTCGATACAAGATATGCATGTTGCCGGTGAATGTGGTTGGTACCTTGCAGGTGCGTTGCAGAGGATCCAAAGTGGCGCAGCTGCCACAAGCTCGTTTGGTTAATCAGCTGCTTGGAATTCTCAGGCGGGCGGAGCTTGGTCAATCAGTCAAGTTTCATATCAGAAGGAACACGCTGCTGCAAGATACTACGAAAACTTCGAGATAGACGACACGACTGGGAAGCCACTCTCGCGCCGTGAAGTCACAGATCTTCACTACGAGCGCTTGCAGCTCCTGCAGAGAGCGACCTGGCACATGCAGCCGTAAGAAAGAGTCATCGGAGTTGCTTGGCGCGGCTTGGGATGCAAGGTATGCTTCCAGGAGTTTTCAGACAATCCCAGCCTGAAGCAGATCATGCTGGTGAATGTCGCGAAGCTAGACACCAGGCAGGGGTCGATATCAGTTGCCAGAAGAGGTTCCTGTTCCTCCGTGCCCAATCATGCCCAGGGAAGCCCTCCTGGAACACTTCGAGCCCTTGCCGTTCGAAGTCCTAAAGGTACTCTGTGCCAAAGTCTGCTATCTTGATGCTGGAGTCCAAGTTGTGATTGCAAAGCATCTCTCACCGCCATGGACACAACAGTCGCCGTCCCATCCTTCCGACACCAACAGCTTGAAGGCAACCGGTAGAAACATAGTTTTTGTACGCTAGATGTAATGCGTGACGGCACTGCAGCACAACCCCAACCCTGCGTCCGCATCCGCCCTCACTGTCCTTTTCCGCCCTAATCACGCCACGCACTCCCGACATCTCCCAGCCGTGGGAGGAAAGGAGCAAGACCTTCCTTTAGGTTCTTTAGGTGGCAACTTGACTAGGATGCCAAGGATAAACAGTATCTAAAGGAGCCTTGCGAGGCTTTCGAGCTGTTATGCAGTGCTTATAACGTGACTTGGAGGGGGCACCATGTATGTGTGTGTATATTTATGTATATATACACCCATGTATGTATGTGTATACACATATATATATATATATATGTTCTATATGTACAGATATGTGTATATATATATATGTGTATATATATATATGTACACATACATACATACATACATACATACATATGTACATACATACATACATACATACATACATACATACATACACCTACAGAAAACACAAACACACGCACATCCATGCATATATCCATCCATGCATGCATACGTACATACATACCTACATGCACACATGTATACATACACGGTAGGCCAGCCGTTGATCCGCCGTTGTCGGCTTGACGAGTCATGTTGAGTCATGTTTACTATCTCTTCCTCAGCTTCACTTGTGCAATCGTTTTCTTCATCTTTTTCCTCGAATACGAACGTGGCCACAAGCTGAAGTCTGAGTTGTCTTACCTGTTGAACATTCAAGATTTCTGGCCACACCGAGCAGTGCAATGGCTTAGGCTAAGCGTTGTAAATTCAAGAGCACCTGGTTCAACCGTGCGATTCAAGCACATGTAGTGGGTGCACTTTGTTGGTTTAAGGTCTGAAGCGACTTTAGCGGATGGGATTCAAGGCATGCGGTTGCGAAAGTTCAGGGTTTTCAGATGAATTGTTTTTGTGAACTGCAAGTTTGTTGGTGTGTAGCGCTTTTATTCTGCGGGCGAAGCCCAGGTTTATAGCCGTCTATGGTTTGAAGATTTGCAGCTTTTTCCGTGGAATCGGGGTTACTTAGAGTTTCCTGGGGCATCAAGGCTTTCAGGATTTATGATTTTCTTGTGATGCCTCTTCGTGCAGAACCAAAGCCAGGACAACCATCGGTGCGGCAGGCTAAACAGGAGGTAACACATCGGTAGCACAAGGGTTCCGGCATCTGCGCGACCCTCGCGAACAAAAGACACCCCACACCTTCATACAAGAAACCTCTTCGCCACGTGTTCGGACAGAACGGGCAAGGACTGATCCTTCGCTATGCCTTGTACAGGAGTTTGATTGAAATGCAAGATTACAGCTTTCAACTTTGGTAGTCGCACGCCCGCAACAGTGCCGCGCAATTTTTGGGTGCGACTCGTCTTGCCGCCACGGTCCCGGGTCATCGCTTGTGTTGAGAAGCGCTGTTCAGCCGAAGCTCGGTTAGAATTTGCACGCAAACCCACCCTCTGCCTGCCATGCGCTGCGCTTGTCGTGCAAGAGCACAGGCCGCGAGCCGAAGCAGGAACTACTCCGCTGCGCAAACCGAAGCCACACAAAGGGAACACATGGTGCCAACACCCAGCAAATCCCTTGACACCTAATGTGAGAACCACACAGCGTAACCACGCTGTTTGATGTTTCCAAAGAGGCCAAGCACATCTATGATATGAAAAGTCCAGCACCGTTCTACATCTCTTTCGAAAGCTTCTGGCCCTGTCCTTCGCCCGCGGGTGACCCTGTGCAGTCCTTGTCGTGTGTCCGTCATGTCGAAGAGGATGCCACTACCGTGGCCTCGCAGCAATCGCAGCAATTCAAGAGCGCATGTCGGTGCTCACCTTGGGGTTCGAAGACGTGGGGCACTGCTTAGGTCTCCCGGGATACCACGCTGGCAGCCATGGAGCAGAAGGTGCGTATGGTGCTTGCGCAGACGGCTGTGTGTGTGTGTGTGTGTGTGTTTGTGTGCGGGCCAACGTCTGTGGAAGTGCGTCGCAACTGCGGAGGTGCGGGATGCGATTGCAGCACAGGAGGCTCAGGAGGCCGAGAAAGAGGCAACGGAGCCCAAAAAGAAGAAGCGGAGAAAGAAGGCAGCCCAGCTTAGCTCTTGCCTTTTGAGGCCTGCTACGTTCTTGCAAGCCGAGGTGAAGACAGAGGAAGAAGAGCGGATCTGCAAGCTTCTCGTGGAAATTCTTGTCAACCGATTGGAACGTCCGGTGATGCAGCTGCGTAGTTGCAGTAGCACGCGCTGAGCTGACACAGCTTCGAGTCTCGGTGATGTGGTACTGTATCATCTGCGAGGCAAGATGACGTGATGAAGATGCCTTTGTACCCGACGGAGGACCTGATTTGGGATCCAAATCTTGTCCCAGAAGAACACTACTCAGGCCAGCGTCCTTGCAGAGGTGAGCTGCCAGAACCTCCTGACCTGGACACAGGTGACTACACCCTGGCCCTTCCCAAGCTCAACCTGCAGTTCCTCACGATACACGACGCACGGCATCACAGAGGTTGAGTCTGGACGGGTGTGATCAGAGTTCATCGCCATTCACAGCCTGGCTAAGGACTACCTGCTGCGAAACTTCAATTTGTTCAGATTGGAGTCCACGCATGAGATACGAGATGACCTTCAAGATCAGATCCCCAGGTGCAGTCCAAGATTGCCGTGCAGGCATGAAGCCAGCTTTTCCAAACTGCAGGATGAAAGCCTCCGCCGAGCAAGACGGTGGCACGCATTTCTCCGGCTCCGGACGGATGATGGTGCCTTTGGGCGGGCTGGAAGTCATGAACGCCCCATGCCAGCACCGTGCTATAGCAAGGACCTACCCACCTGGCGAGCATCTGACTGCTGAGGTGAAGAGGCCCAAGGTAGGAGAGGAGGTTCCATCGGAAGTCCGGGCAGAAGTCCGCTGGTCCTTGACGGGAGTTCTGCCGTCCGGGCCTCAAGTCGGTGCGCAAGCAAAGACCCGGTTGCAATCAGTTGCGAAAGTCTTCCGAAGGGGTTATTAAACAAGCACATTCGCATCATTCGTCTATCCACCAGGCGAGGCTTCATTTTGAAGGTGTGGAGCATTCCGAGCAGCCATCGCCGTTCACATGCCAAAAGCCAAAGGCTCGTGTCCTTCCGCGTCCACCGGACATGCGACATTCTGAAACTTTCCCATCAAGCTGTAGGTTAGACGGGCAATACAGGCAGTTCGCGACAGTGCTAGAAGAGTTCAAGTGCTTCCCATAGAAAGAGAAGCCACCGTGCATGAGCGCGCACATTTTAATATAACAAGAACAGAAACCCTGCTGTTTCCATTCCCCGGCCAATCCAGTCTATCAGTAGGAGCATCTATGCCCGTGAAGTTTCTTTTCAACTCATTGGCTGCTTCCCACTTCTCACACGAGGCAGATCCGAGAAGAATGGGATACGCTGAGAGAGCACGATGTGATATTCCTGATCAGGCACCGGTCGCAGCTTGAGGCGCATGTGACAGAAAGCCATCTGCTGCAAACCAGGATCAAAGCTCCAGAGGAGCCCTACGATGGCAGGGTTGCCGACCTCACAGTGGCGGAGTTTCCAGAGAAGTTCGGCCGGCAACTCAGCCTCTCCGATCGGATCGTGTCTTCAGCTTGGTCACCATGGCATGATCCGAGGTGTCGTGAGCGTGCGTGGAGCAGTCTCTGCCTCGTAAACTGAGTGCAGGGCGCGCGTTAAACCTGAGAGCCCAGGAGATCACGGAGCTGCTTGACGACGAAGGTGCGAGAGTCGGCTTTCGTTCTTAGGCTGTGTCTGCTCTCCTGCCAGGCAATGTCATCAGCGATCCGAACCCTGCAGAGCGCAAGACTCCCGTTGGAGACGGACGAGTAGCACGCGTGATTTTGGACCCTGCGCAGTACCATCAGGAGATGGGCATTGGACTCATCTGATTTTGCAGGGAAAGTTCACGGTCGCATGACAGACTCGGTTCGAATTACCCCAATGAACTTCAGTTTTCAAGTCAACGAGCGTCCACTCACACTTGCTGGCCAAGATTCCCCATACTCTGGTCCGAACAGACTAGACTGCTAGCCTGAGTTTCAATTGATATGTCAGATAGGAAGCAATGACAAAAATCCGAGCATCCGGGAAGCAAAAGTGATAATATAGTGAGATCTCGCAGTTGCGGTGCCCAAGAGACCGTGGCTCTTTGCCAAACACATCCACCAGCGGTCCACAGAGTGGACCTTGCAGCAGACAGGCACCTTGGATCCCAGGGGTGAAGAAGGAGGGGCCGTTTTTGAAGTAGATTAAGAATTCACTGGCGAAAAGGGGATGCCCTGCTGAGCTCATGCATTTTCTAGGCACAAGGTCAGCTGCTTGGAATCACCCTGCCCCATCAGCGCTTCGAGTCTGAGACCGCAGCGTATTTGCCGTTTGAGTTTGAACGGTTTGTGTCATGCCTTCTTTCGTGCAAGTTGCCATGATCTGTGTGCTTTCCTGGCTTTCGTGCTGACCTGTACGTGCCCCCAAGTTTATACAGCACATCGATCTCCACTTGCCTGCACGTTGTAGTTCTGAACCGGTGAAGCGCGAGTGCAGCTTTACGACTACTTCACAGGTGTCGTCGGAAAGAATCTCCGCATGCTGGCTTGATGTATGCGTTGACAATGTAGTGTATAGTTTCGCGCTAGAAGCAGCAAGAATGCGCAGGACTTGGAGGCCATGGCGTCTGGGAAGACCGAGATCTACAGCAACTTGAACCTCGTCCTGCGCCGCAAGCCGAGTCGAGCTTGCAAGAAGGGGCAGGGAGAACTTGTGTAGACCGAAACATGCTGAAAGCAGACAGAATGGAACGAATTCTGAAGGAACCGCGAGCTCCTCGTAAAAAAGGAGCGTGTAATTAAAGCGAAGTCTTCGCGACACTTCACGTCAAGAGTCAATAGCATTCTTGTGACAGAGGTCAGCTTGACCCTGTCGTCGAAAGTACCATGTTCGTACGTCTTTAGCTAGCCCTGAACGTCTCAAACCCGACCGGTGTGTGCAGGAACGTGCCATGTGGGCTGCACTTAAAACTGTGCATGGTTGAAATCCCAGTCATGTCTTCGCAATTTGCTAAATATCCGGCAAGTTTCACATTTGGCGCTGAGTTTTGGCTGATGCAGAGCAGGTGTTGCTTAGTGCTGTGCTTCTGTGTGTGCTACAATACAAGGAAGGAGAACAACTTCAAGGCCATCCTTCACACGATCAGGACGTTCATGCTATCCAGCGTTCGATGTAGGTTGCAGCAAAGATCTCCACAGATTGGTATGGTTCTGCTGGATACGTTGCATAGGAGTTATCATGGCTGCAGGAGCCTGATGAACAATGAGGACACAGTTGTTCCTGCAGCGAGCTCAGCAACACCCAGCTTTCCAGTTGCCATTGGAATAATCAGAACCGTGGCGGAGCAAAGCAGAGCATATCAGAGCAAAGGACTGGCTCCATGATCTCTTCCTCGGATACGGAGACCCCGGAGCGGCTCAGTACTGGAAGCTTCCAACCACGCTGAGCGAAATTGACTTCAGACGCTTTTCTGCAAGCACATCCCGCCTTGCGCCCTTGGGACGTTCTGCCGGGCAGGACGCACCAAGCAGCTTGAACACGCGATCGAAAGTACCTGCACTGTTCGCAAGGCATTGCAGAGATGCAAGGCATCTTCCAAAGTTGAAAACCAAGCCTGCCAAGAACACCGAGACTCTAATCTTGCTTGCTTTGTGAGTTGTCTTAGGAGACACCTTCCTGGACGAAGACCACATACTGGCGCCTTGATGCTTCTGTGATTGTTTCCCACGACACTTGCACGATCAACTGTCACACACGCTGTAGCCGAAGTTTTGTGACACTTTCAGGAATCCTTTCCCGACGCTGAAGATATCGATGTGCCGGAGGACTTGAAGAGGCCTTTCAAGTTGAAGTTCGAAGCAGTCAAGGGCACAGGCGCCAGCACTCTCAGCTCCAAGAGGCCACAAGAACGACTCTCGGCGAGGAATTTACGTGTCGTTTACGTGTCAGTGCGGAAGGGAACGCCAGCGAAATCTTTAAACAAATCCAAGATGCACGAGCCAGGAGTGGTCGCTTCGGCATACACTTTGCCCAACATGGGCCCGTACCCAGAGTGCATGCCGGGAGCTCAGGGAGCGATAGCCTCTGAAGCCGGCATAGCCGGACTAGGTGACTGACGCGGTGCACCTGACGCGCATGCTCAGGCCGAGAGAGAACTCGATCCGCTTCACGCCCGTGCAAGTGGAGGCTATCCGGTCGGGCGTGAACCCTGGCTTGACCATGGTCGTGGGACCTCCTGGAACTGGCAAGACCGACACTGCCGTGCAGGCGAGTGCAAGCATTAAGTTTCAAAAAAAACATGTGTGCAGTGACCCTTTTGCAGCCTTTTGCGGTCCAACTGAGGTTGTGAACCTGCTTTTCCACAACTTCCCAGACCAGAAGATCGTGCTCGTGGCACATTCCAACCAAGCCCTGAATGATCTGTTCGAGAAAATCGTGGCACTTGACATCCCTGAGCGCTACCTGCTCAGACTGGGTCGCGGTATTGAGGCGCTCGGAGTTCAGAAAATGCTGGAAGCTATCCCAGGGCCCTGGATAATTCTGTTCGCGCCATTTCAGGAGCTGGATGCAAAGCAAGACTTCTCCAAGTGGGGTCGAGTCAACCACATGTTGACGTGGCCTCAGCGCTAGCATTACTCACTTACTCACTTCTAGGAGCGCAGTGGCATGGGAGGGCCAGAGCTTAGTCGGACGATTAGAGGGGAGTATTTGGACGGGGGTAACTGACCATGAGAAAGCCCTGATGCGAGGAAGCGCCGAATAGATCTGCTGGCTAAAGTAGAGCGATTGGCTGACACCTTCGGTCTCTCTGGACAGGACGCTTGGCTTGCATGAATGCATCATCAGAGATTGGAGTTGTCGAAATGAGCCGGAAAGTGCCCAGTGTCAACGAATCCAATAATGTCGCCACATCAGCGAAGCCACCGCAGCCAGCATCAGCAGCAATGCGCGGACCTGTCTATGCTCGCATTCTCCTGCCAACAAGAACCGCCAGACTACTGCTAGAACGGACTAGCGATCTCGCCCCACATCCCAACCCCCCAAAACTAAAAGCTTTGCAGCCGCTAAAGATGCTCGGGTAGTGATCAAGCAGGTGCTTTCTTTAGCTTCATGCGAAGACTCCGACATTCTCCGACTCAAACAACAGTAGAGAGGTTGATCGTGGTATACTTTGTCCAGCTATGCATAAAGTCTTCATGGCAGCTGTCTCCTTTGTTCCTTTGTTGCTCCGAGTCTGCGAATGGAGTGAAACATCGCGTGGCTTAACACGGTCAGTTATGTTCATGCGAGAGTAGCGTATGTAGCAGATGAGGCAGAAAGGTCAAGAAGTTAAGAAGCCACATCAGACACGTCCTGGACCAACCTGTGCTGTTACACGCTGGTGCCCTTTTGGCTGCAACCAGAGAAGGAGCCTGTCTGGCTAATCTAGGAAACCCCAGAGAATTGCAACACACTCACCCCACTATGTAAACGCCGGGAAAGAAACAAACACCCGGCGTCGATTGACCTTGCATACCCAAGATTCGGCCCAAGACTCAATGCTTGCTCCAGATCCCCGCTGTTAGAATCCGTGGTAGCTCTGAGGACGTGGCCTACACTTGCGAAAACGCGCAGCATTTCTTTCTGCACCATGTGCGGTACCGGTGGGAAGAGTTCCACAAGAAGCTGGGCATAGTTGGCAAAAACGGTGCCAACATCCACAAGGCTCGGAGCTCTTATACTCGGATATGGATGTGGGGTGATGCTGTTCTGACGACGGTGCTAGAGATTGAAGATTTCCAGGACTGATACATACTGATACCCCGGGGCATTGCACATCTTGCACCTTGCACCCTTCCTGTGCGGAGGTTCTGGGAAAGACCGGGACGAAGAAGCGCCGCCTCGACGAAGAGGCCGCTACAGTCCCTGTGTTGCGCATCTTTTCGCAACTTTGCACTTGTGCTTAGACTCCACGCGAATTGCGCTCCATCTCGCATTAGAGTTTGTTTGGTTCAAGGCAGCGGAGGCAGCAGATGGCAGGCACGCGGAGAGTTTGTGCCGCTCAAGTCTTTGTTGGGTTCTTTTGTCTGAGGCAAAATGAAGACGAGAACAGCGAGGAGGTGAAGAGGATACGTGAGCAGTGACTTGATCGCTTTGCAGGGCCAGTTCTGCATAACAGTGCACGTTCTGAGCACGACGCTCCTTTCTCATGTTTCGGTCGGCTCAGCAGGCATCGTTTCAACCTTCAAGCCTTAGCTGAGGCTGTTGAGTGGCCAGAAGACCGTGATCAGTGTCTTATTTCCTTTCACAAAGTTCTTTGCGGATGCTCCTCAGCCACTTTTCCCTTCAGAGTCCCACGAAGCAGACCTAGAAATTGCCGAAGGCTGCTTCCGGCCTGCTGGCAGCACTGGCCAGACAAGAGCAACATTCGGGTGTGGAGAGGATTCAGAGATGTTGCATGATGTTGCATGTATACTCTCTCTTTCCCTCCTTCTCTCTGGGCAAGTTCGACGGGGTTCTAGATGCATGAACTTGACGTATCAAAGCTCGGGAAGGGTGGAGCTACTGAAGATGTTCCTTCTCCACTCACCGACTTGCCTCGCTAACTTCGTAGTTTTTCTTGGGGCTCTACTATACCCAGTACGTGACAAAATCCAGAGGCTTAAGCCATCCGATAACGAAGCGCATCCAAGCGCTCAGCATCTCCTTGTCATCCTTGTCACTCGAAATGTACAACAGCTCGTTACTGGTGGAAGCCCAAAACGCCAGCATCGAGCTTGCATTCGCACATGTCCGGCTTACCCAGCTCAATCCCCGTCGCTTGCCTGAAGCTGAAGTAGCGAGTGCTGAGCTGCTGACCCATTGGCGGAGTGATGTGACCAAAGGGCTTGATTCGTGCAATGCGCGCAAACGGCTGAGACGTCCAACTCCCAACCCAGCTGGCACATGTTCAGACTTCAACAGCGGGGTCGGATACCGAGGTACTTCGAGAATATGTTCAGGGAGATTGAGGAATGCCGTGCCTTCGAGCTTTTGCGGAACGGCTTCCCAGTGGCAAGACGTCGAAGTCATGCCCATGTTTTACTTCTATGTCTGCTTGCTTTGTCAGTTGCTCAGTAGTTGCGAGGCCATGATCGTGGTGACTACCTGATCACAACGCACGCTCGAATCATTGCGATGACTTGCACCCACGCTGCTCTTACAAGGCACAGCCGCTGACTTCTCTGCATTCCGAGTCCGAGCGGGCATGTTGCATTCCAGCGTGGTAACTCTTGCGCAACAAGACATCGGGTAATGTGGCAAAGGAGACACGGCTGGGAGTTTGGGCCTGTATCTGCCGTGCACCTTGCGTGAGATGCTCACCTCTTTGCAAACAGGTCAACCTTGGTGAATTTGTCCTTCAAGTACGATGCTCGATTGCAAGCAGCGCTGTCGTTGGATGGCTAACCGGCTAATCCACATGCACGACTGGAGACTGGGGCTTGCGCATCACACTTTATCATGAGCCCCTCAACAATTAGGCAGCTCGTTCAAGCAAAGCAACTTTCACAAGCCTCACGAGGACAACCTTCTGATGGAAGAATCTGCACAAATCCTGGAAGTGGAGACGTTCATACCGATGCTGCTGCAGAATGCCGAGAGCGGTGTGAGCAGGATCCAAAGAGCATTGAGATGTTTTCGCACGACTGGGTTAGTTGGGGTGTTGCTCCTCAAATCTTAAGTCTCGAGGTTCTAAACTGAAGCTGTACACTTGTGTGGCAGCAGATGAGCACCACACCTTGCGGAGAGGTTGAAAAGGGTGATGCTCATCGGGGACCACCACCAGCTGCCTCCGGTCGTCAAGAACCGGGCGTTCCAGCCGATTGGATCTAACCTTTGCATCCGCATTTCATACCCTGTGCTGCAATGATGTACTTGCTGATGCAGGTCCTTGTACATGCGCAGGCAAACCAAGCACCTTTCGCAGACCTGCAGCTCAGGAAGTATGGGCACCTGGACCAGTCTTTGTATGCCCGATTCGTGCGCCTGAAGACACCGACGGTAGACCTCAATCTGCAGGGTCGAGCGAGGCGGCGCACGTCAGTTTTCATTGGCTTTCAGCTACGGAGACGGAGAGAGGCCTAGATGGGGGCATCTTGGAAGGCCCAGCATCGCCGAGCTCTACAGTTGGCGCTACAAAGATCTTGGCAATCTGCCGAATGTCCTAACGGACGACAGGTGCGCATCCATGCTTGAAAAGCTTTGCTTTTGTGTACAATTGGTGCAGCAACTGGCCAGCCGCCAGGTACCGGTATGCGAACCCGGGACTAACTTATGTGTGCCACGGCGAAGTTATAGAATGGTCCTGGTAGCTTTTGTTGTCATGCTTTGCTGTCCGGCTTGCGAGTGACCGTAGCTCATATTATGACATGCATGTCGAACTTGAAGCGAGAATCGGAAACGCTTTCGACCAAAGGATATATAAATCAGCATTCTGCAGGTGTCATATAGATTTGATCGACGTTTTAAGCGGTTTTTCGAAGCACTCGCACATGTAATGGTACAGTCATGGCCTACTAAACTTCCGCCCAACGCGTCCATGAACATCACCGGATTGTGGCCAGCAGCTAAAGCGCTGCAGGTCCAAGGGATGCGCCTTGCCACGGCCGGAGCTCGTCGTTGATCCAAACAAACTGGCCAGCATAAAGATGAAAAAACAAATCCCAAACGCACGAACTGACTGGAGTGCCGCCCCTGACAGAGGTTCGTCGTAGGATCTCCTATATGTGGAACGCACGAGCAGAAAGCTGACCTGACCACAAACGGCCAGGTGACATTCTAAAAAATTTCAGAGCCCTGCTTCCCCAGTGCATGCAAGTCCAGGGTGTTTCATGCCAGACCAACTTCCAGCCTATAGCTAGTTCTTCTTTTCAGGCACGGCGCCGAGTTTGCGGTTTAGAGAGCTGCGCTTGCGACGCTGAGGTATCAGTTCGTCAACGTTGAAGACTTCGAAGGCCGAGGAGAATCACAACCAACGCCGTACTTCTATCAGAATTTGGGAGAAGCCGAGTATTGCGTAGCACTCTTTATGTATATGCACGCAACTCAGCCTTTACTGCTGCGACTAAATAGTGTGAAAGGCAAGGTCGATTGCCGCGAGCCCGAGGCGCCTTTGTGGAATCCCCGCTCACAAGATCTCCATCCTGTCGACCTACAATGGCCAGAAGGCAGAGTCGGCACAAAGTGAATGCAGCATGCCGCAGTGCAGCAGTAGTCCTGCATAGTCCTGTCACGTCCTGTCCAAGGCCTTGCTGAGAGATGTGGTCAGGACACGGTGCTCATGGAATCCGCTGTTTGGAGAGCCTGCCCTTCGGCTTGCACCGCGCGCATGTGCTTTAGTTGACAGACAAAAGTTTAAATGCGACTTGCCGAGGCCAAGATTACGACAGTGGACAAGTTCCAGGGACAGCAGAATGACTTCATCATAGCAACTTGGATTCACTGTACAATAGAGTCCACAATCAGTCCACAACGTTTTGTTCCATGGTTTGTGTAGGATTCGACTCTTCACTCTGGCGGCGATGTTGAGGGATGCAGATACAGATAATGCTATACACCCGAAAGCACCGCGAAAGCAGTGACATATGGATTAAATCAGTCCGCTTCACTGAGCAAGCCGTATGCCGGTTCGGGAACCAGCTTCCAGAGCACAGCGTCAGCGGGAAAATTGCAGAGGAAGCCAACGGAGCGTGAACAGAAAGCACATGCTGGGTAGCAGTGCAACACTGAACGAGACATTTCTGTGCGAAGGTGGCGGTTTCAACATGCCAGGATGGCCTCAACGGCACAACTTCGTTGAGACTGTATTACAAAAAACTGGAACTCTCCACAGGTTTGTGGTAAGTGGTGTTCGACAAAGTTCAATGTGCCTCTCAGACCCACGAAGCAGACGCTGCTGTTTTGCCTGACCCCCCCATAGATTGGCCCGGAAGAGTAGTAGCCGCGAGTTCCCTCCTGACTGGTGGTCTTGACGCGTTGGCGGTGTGAGGAAACAGTGACAAGCTATGAAGCCCTAGTTCCGTGCCACACTTTTTCCGCTGCTGATAGTGCGTATTCACTTACTGCCCACTGTCGACCTGTCGGTTGGTGCCGAGGTCTCGTTGGTGCGAACAGCACATGTGGGCCACCTCCGCGATGTCAGACGACTCATCGTCACGATGAGTAGAGCTCGCTTCGGGCTCTACGTGTTTGGAAGGCATCCCTGGCCGCTTTGAGTTGTTGCAAGCAGTGGAAGGCTTGAACAGAGCACTTGCAGGTTTTCGCTCTTCGAGAACTGCTTCGAACTCACTCCAGTATTCAGCCGCTTTGCGAGACTACCTCGCGACTTGAGTTTGGAGCTGCTCGGCCGCAGAAGCTTGAAACCATTTCGCGATGACACTCGGGTTCATGTTGGCTACAGCTCGATATCCTCACTGGGGCTATTCAGAGAGCTTGGTGCGGTGGTGGAAATTGACAGCCTGACGAAGTTGAAGTGCCCGGTGGCCCCACAATAGGGCATGTGACAGCCCACGACACGCGTCCACCTCCTCCGTCCTATACCTGTACCTCCGCATTGCATCGCGTCCCGCTGTGCGCATCCCTCGAGTAATCCCTGTCCCTTGCGCCCACCCTGCGTCCCTCTCCGTGTCCTCCGCGTCGTGGCCGCAATCCCCGCGTCTCGAAAGTCCCGCTCTGTGTCCCCTCGCATCACGCGCGTCCCTCGTGCACGCCCATGTTGCCGCCCATCATGACGATGACATCCACGGTCTAAGCCGTTGGATGACGTCCTTGGCCCAATCCGGGTTTTGAGTACAGAGGGTGCGTGGCCCAACCATGATGACGTCCATGATCGCATCCACTTGAGAAGTCCACTGTCCATCTATGATGATGCCCGTAGTCCGGTTAGAAATGTTTTGAGTGGACAGCATTTACGCCCCAATCATCGTGAACCTCCATGGTCTAAGTTCTGAGTGGATTGCATGCATGGCCCAACCATGATGACGTCTATGGTTTCATTTCTTCCAAGTAGAAAGCAGCCATGGCCCAACCATGATGATGCTCATGGTCTGGTACGTGCTGAGTGGAAGGCATGTGAACGCATCCGATGCATCTGTAACCCAGCCATGATCAGCTATGACGACATCTATGGTCTCGATTACGTATGGAGCGGAGAGGCTGGCCCTACCATCATGACGTCCATGGTTTAATCCGCGTTGAGTGGAGAGCATCCGCAGCCCAAGCATGATGACGTCCATGTTTTAATACGTGTTGAGTGCGGGGCATACCAGGTTCAGGCATGATGACATTTATGAGTGCATATGTATCATATGTTGTTTCCGACTTGAGTGTATACGGTGCATGGCCCGGCCATGATGATGTCTATGGTGTAGTCTTTCGGAGTGGACAGTATCCATCCCTGGTGTCCACCGTCCGGCGTCTCCTTTGCGTCCTGCGCGTCCCTCGCATCTCGACCCACTTTCTTCCGCGTACAGCTCCGCGTTGCCCGTCCCTCGCGTCCAGCTCGGCCTCTCGCGTTCGCATCCCCTGCCCTGCGTGCCCCCGGAGGCTTCCCCAGGTCCCTCGCAGGTTGCCCGTTGTCCTGCCACTCACAACCGATGCATCGACCGGCTGAAGCTGCATTCCGCTTTGTAACTCCCAAAAAGTACGGCAAGTGTCAGACTTTTCCATGGCATTCGCGTTCCATGCACGGCATCTCACGGACGTCCGCAGATTCGATTTCTCCGATAGCAGGACTCAAGCATCCATCTTCGCTTCACCGGCACGACCGATGCCGATCAACACAGCCGACCAATCATGAGTATGAATTGGTGATTAGGGCGGTCCAGCGGAAGTGCAGCCTCCCTTTTGGGCTCCATGTGGCAGCGTAATGCGACACAGCATCAAGCATTTGGAGTGTCGAGAACATGCAAGAATCCGGCTTTTGCCGATGGACATTTGCCAGTTCTTTCAATCTGGGTCCGTACGACTTGAGCAGACTGGTCTCAGTCGGGTTGTGCCTGGGCGGCTGTCCGTGCCTAGGGAATGTCTGCTGCACCAAACGGCGAGGTTGACAGGCATAATGAGATTGTGTCTATGCTGATCGTGATTTGGATAGTAGTCGCCCCTGGTCACTTGATGATCAGCGCCGTGTTCTGAAACAAAGTTCTTTGAATTCTAGGCGGACTATCACTTCTTCAAAAGCGATTGGGAGCTGCACAAGTCGTGTTTTGAGGAAGACTTTGGCTTACTACTGGAACGTACCGTAGTTCGAAGTTGGCTTCTCCTGCTCAGTGGATGTCGCATTCGAGAAGTGCCGTCACAGACCCATCAGAACTGGTTTTACGGTAGCCCTGGAGTGACTGATCGCTCATAGGCCACAGGCCGCATCAGAACCAGAAGCAGATCTGACCATTGTCATCCAAGTCAGGATAGGCTCTCGGGTTGCAAACGGCTTGTCCAAGAAACGTGATAGTCTTGTCAGTACTGTGTTGGGTTGTCGAAACAACTTGCCGCCACCTATTTGTCGTCCTTTTCTTGAGAAGAAGTGCTGACGCGTTCATTCTACACTCTCGGGACAGTGGGGCCATCTAGAAAACACAGGACTCCCCCAGCTCTTGGATGAGAACCGTGAATCCCGCGGCCAGGGGTCAAGGACCCAAACTGATCGTATGAACCGCTGCAAAGTTTGGCTGGCAGATGCCCCTGACACGGTCCAATCACGCGTTCAGAAGTGAGTACTTAGTGCCGGTGTCCCACCTTCGGAACCTGCAGCGTGCAGGCCCAAGTGTCACAATTTTGCCGGCATTGAGACCAGAGTCATCTAGAGACCACGGTTTGGCCAGCAACTAGTGATGTCCACACGCTGTCGACAGTCGGCGGCAACAGCCCAGCTGGTATGTTGGTTGACATATGGTTATGTGGCGACCAAGAGTCGCATGGGTAGACATCGATTGGATGTCGGTGTTGACATTGATTCTTCAAGGGTGTGTAAAAAAGGAGTCGGATGTCGTACTCTCACTCACGACGTTCTACCTTTAGTTCCAGGTTGCACGAGCAGCCTGGCTCACTGCGGCTGCTTGATGCAGATCCATGGCTGCCTTTGGCCACTGCGGAAGCTGCAAACCCTCGAGCCGAGCGCCTTTCACTGAGGAACCTCAGTCCACGATAGTCCAGGACTTGCATCAGATGCGAGCGCCTCAGGTCAGCCACCAGAATTTCCAAGGTTCTAAAGCTTTGAGACCAAGGTGGACGTTGCTCCAGGTCAAGATGAAAGCACAATTTCAGGACCACCTCCGACGTGCTGCAGGGAGATGTTTCGGCCTGCGGCGCTCTGTTGCATTGTCCAGGACCTGTCATCTCAGGCTCCGTGCATCTCGCTGTTCAGATCGACTGGTGATGCCAACAGTCTCTGCTTTCAGGCTTTCGCGTGATATGACGACGAATTCCGCACATAGCTGAGCCTTGAGACTGGGCTCAAGATGTCTTGGCCAGCCATGAGGAGTGCAAAATGTCGCGAGCATGCTGTGCAGAAGCAGCGACCAGGACTTTTCACAACAGCTCGCTCATGCAGACCCTCCCTCCCCTCCCCTCCCCTCCCCTCCCTTCCCCTCCCCTGCCCCTCCCTTCCCTCCCTCCTTCCGAGTCCGGACATGGCGGAGCCAATGACGGCTCAAGCGCGTTGGAGTGTACGGACATGGCACGCGTTTGTGAACCATAGCTTCCGAATGTTTCGGAAGCCTGAACTCGTCGCATGCATTTTTCGTAGAACCTGCACGCTACAAACATCGGCACCTCAAGTTTGCACAGGGTTCAAGCCTACCTGCAATCAAACAGGACGAGTCTGACCCGATTCAGGGCCCGCGGCATGCCATGGTCAGTGACTTATGCCAGCTGTGGATCGCCCTCAGGCCCAGCTGCTGCACGTGCAGGTTAGATGTTCGCTCTGTGGTTGGAAAGGAGTTTGCTCCACCACGCCGTGCACTTGCAAGTTCCGGACAAGGACGGCAAGAGATCACGCCGAAGTCCCGTGATGCTTCTCTCACACTTTGCCCCAGGACCAACAGCAGTGACCACAGGCCGCCAAGATACATCTTTGTTTGGACGTGCCATAGGATTACAATACAATGGAGGTTTCAAGTACTAGCCCTGCTCGCTTCCGCGCCAGTGAGCTTGTGATTCCTTTTCTGGGCGTCTAGTGCTGGAGGTGTGGCCCCAGCAAATCTTCTTTATGGATCGAGAGTGGGCATAAGGCACAGCTGCTATCTGCTAGCAGAAATGTCCGGTGCTCGTGTGACCGTTTCGTTTATGCGGCACGTGCGCATTCCTGATTGACCTGTAGATCTTGCGCGGAGCAACGGTATGTGGCAGCCTATGCCGCAGCAGAAGGCGCTTTGAAATGCATGTTGCTGAGACTTAGTACACGAAGAACCGACCAGCAGTTCCTTGGTGCTTGGTTTCTGTCATGCAAGCCTCTGGGTATGAACTTGGTTGGGACAGGGCATAGGGGCCCTGCCACTCCGCGGCTCTGTCGTGTTTCATCACGGTGAAAAGAAGTGAGGGCACGGGGACGGGGTGGGGTGGCCATGGGTTTCTGGACCCCGAGTGGCTAAGTCGCTAAGTTCGAACTGCATCGCAAAAGGTGTTTTTCTAGCACAATCTCTTTTTGTTTCAGATTGCTTGCTGTGCGCAGTGTCGTCAGCCCAATTAAGCAGGGTTAGCGCATGAGGAGTCCCACAGAAGCTGCATCAAGTTTCACTCAGGTAACAATAGTTAGTATCTTGGCCAGGTGGCTTTGATCTGGATGTGCCCAGCTTACGCCCGGCCGGTGAGCAATGAACCAGCTAGGTTTCGTTTGGCTGATCGCCAGCAAGTCCGCTTCCCAATTTAAAGCAAAGGGCTCCTTCGTGCAACTCTTGCCCAGGTTTCGGGATTCCACCCGCTGCGGCAGGCAAGCTTCAGATGAGAGTGCAACGAGTGAGACATGCTTTGCACTGGAATTGACGCGTTTAGGGTGATGCATCCGATCGTGGAGCCGACTGCCCATCAGAGTGGGTCTTACTGCAGCCACCTACCTGCACGATTTTCAGATGGCTGTCCTGTTGTTGCCTTGCTCGGCGGGCCACTAAAGCTTCCAGTGCCACTTGCTTCGGCCGCTTCCAGGTTTAGCAGCCAGAAGCACCGCGGCATCGTTTACCTGGGGGATGAAGTATGCTTCGCACGAGAGCTGCGAATTGAGAAGCGGAAGGACCTGTGACCTTTGTAACCTGGAGTGGTGTTCCTCAGACTCGATTCTCCATCCAGCCTTTCACCTGCACAGGACCGCTTTGCATACTTAGCTTTGGAGCCGAACTTGAACAGCGACATGGAGCCAGTAATTCGAAGGGTGACACCGGGGGAGGTGGTCAGAAGTGCGACGCAGCCACGCTTGGCATGACCATGTTCTCCCTGGAGGTCACGGATGCATGCAAATGGACCCTTGTCCATGCCGACGGAGAGATGTCGGGCAAGCCAGTACAGCTATGATCCCAGAGAGAGACCACATCGTGCAGCATGGCTAGGATGTCTCATAGTCCTCAGGTGCGACATGCCGCTGCTTCTCCGTGGCAAGTACCACGATTGTCTTGCTGTGGGCCGCTCGCTTTGGGGTGCCCCGTTGCATACACAGGATTCTCGAGCGCTGAGACTAAACTTCTTCTGCCAGGTACTGCGGTGTCCCCAGCACGAAGATCTGGAAAAGCTTTGGTTTGCAAGGTCCCATCTGTCACATGCTTCTAACATCCTAGATAGGGAGCAGGCAGCCCAGGAAAAACAGAATTAGTCGAAGCACACGTCGGTGCTTGGACAGCTCGCTGCTCGAGCTCGCTTCGAAAATGCCGTGATGTTGCGTAGCGGCGTAGAGAGCCAATTGCGACGCGTGTACCGCACCGGTTGGTCAGGGGCGAGATGCCCGGGTGCCGGATCTTCGCTTTCGCATTGCGGGGGCCTCAGCCGCATTTTTCTGGTAGATACTTCGCCGCTTCGACTTGTGCCTGAGAGGTGAGGGCTGGAATTCCTTTCAGCCCGGAACTTGCGAGTCCTTCGCAGCCTTCGCCACCGCCACCGCTACTGGGGCCTGAAGCAGAGGGCGAGCTTTTCAGTCAAAAGACTTTCGAAGAGCAGGCCTGAGCCTAAGAACGCCCAGAACGGAACAGAAATGCAATCACGCCCGTCTTTTCCGCAGGAGCACTTGCTGTTGGATGATCTGCTCTATTGTTTACAAGGCCGATTTCCATGATCGCATTTGCATTCAGACCGGGCGGATGCAGTGGTCATCGCCCAGGCTTCGAAGGCACATTCATTCGACAGAGCTCCAGTACTACGGAGCCCATCTTTGAAGTGGAGGTGCCCTCAGGCGCGTCCGAGCCCACAGTCGATTGCCACACCGTGAAAGATGCTTATACAGATCAAAAATCGCGCAGGTGCCGATACTTCGACTGCCCAATTCGTTCAGCAGCTATTGCCTCTGTGCAATCACCATGCGTGTGTGCAACAGTTCGTTCGTCAGCACAGCAAGTATGAGTATGGCATCTTGCTTGCAGACATGTTTTTTTTTTTTTTCGCTGGTCCTGGCATGCAACTCTGTGCAGTCTTGCTGTGCAGCACGTGTGTGTTTCTTTTGGTTTGCTTCACCTCTGAGCAGGCACGGTCAACCACGCATTGTGTGCAGCACTGCGAGATTTGCTGACAGAGTTTGCCAGCAAGGCGGAGCCGGCATGTGAGCCTCATGACATGCCACGGCTGTTCTGCCGTGTGGCTGGGCGACCTCGCAGAAACCGGGAGCACAAAATCGCGACCCTAAGCTACCAATCCCTGTGGCTGTTTGCACGTTCGTGATGTCGAGGTCATCATCATCATCATCATCATCATCGTCAACATCATCACCATCCGCAGCATCATCAACATTTCATCATCATCATCGTCAACAACAACATCACCATCACCATCAACACCATCATCATCATCATCATCATCATCATCATCATCACCATCATCATCATCGCCATCATCATCAGCAGCATCAACAGCATCATCTTCTTCTCCAGCATCTCATCAAGACTTTACATCGTGGTGCAGAGGCCATAGTTTCCAACAGTATTTTAGTCCCTTCCCCCGAGAACATCGGGGGAAGGGATTAGAATACTGACGGTGATGAGACGTCCTCCCCACTCCCCCAAACGTGAAAGCCGGTTCTCTGTGAAAGATATGTGAGTCTTAGGTGTCCTGACTTAGCATCTTCACCCTTGCTCGCCAGTACATTATAAAGGGCTCTTGCGTAGCTATTCAACGGCCCTCCTTTGGCAGGCCGCAAACCTTGCAGTCTTGAGTTCCTGCGGCCCTTGCTAGCTGCCAGCTCTGCAGTTCTTGCAGTCAACTCAACTCTTACGTTAGAGCGCACGCACTCACTCTTGTATCGTGAAGGTTTCGGATGCCGGGATAATCCCTCAACCTAAACGCTGACAAGGAAAGGAACTCAATTCGCACGTTCTGGTACACACTCGCTCTTGCAATCGTGAGGTTTCGGATGCTGTGATAATGCCTGCACAGAAACTCTGCGAGAGAGAGAGATGGGTATCGTATATTTTTTGGCTAGTAGTGCCTTTTCAGTACTCGCATAAAGTTCTCTTGCGCACGAAGTTCTCTTGTGGTACCTCCTTCGGGTGGGCCTGAGGCCCGGGGAGCCTGACCACGTGAGACAGAGAGGCAGCGAGAGAGAGAACGAGAGAGAGAGGAGTGTTTCGCTTCGGCGCAAGGGGGTGGGGGCGCGTTTCCCCATGCCTCCACGCACTGTGCAAGCCAGCAAGCCAGCCAGCCAGCCACCCAGCCAGCAAGCAAGCAAGCAAGGAAGCAAGGGAGGGTGTGAGTGCGAGTGAGTGAGTGAGTGAGTGAGTGAGTGAGTGAGTGAGAGAGAGAGAGAGAGAGAGAGAGGGGCTTGCCCTCCTTACCCC